TCCCTCCCTCTCTCTCTCTCTCTCTCTCTCTCTATTTTGAGTGGGCTGTATATGCTCAATCTGAAAATATCCTAATTGTTGCAATTTTTTTGGTCTAAATGTGGAAAACTAAAATGAGCTGAATCTTTGCTGTTCCTTTGGCTTATGTTCTTAATTTCTGTGGGTTCAGGGTGGGGACAGAGGGAATGTTGGCTTTCTCGTGACGCAGCTGAATTTTTTTGAATAACCCAATTAATGGTTATTAGATGCTCTCATTGTGTCTAGGAAATGGCAGGGGTGTGTGCACATTTATCCAAAATACATTGTGCCTTTTGTAAGCTATTAGAGCAGGAGTAATTTGCAATTATTACACCAAAGCCGAATGCATTAATTAAAAAAAGAAATTAAATGATTCACAAGAAATATACGACTATTACCTCATAAACATTCTAGTGATGTCATTTCTTGACGTTAAAGTTGTTTCCTTTAGAATATTTATATACAGAAGTTTCTTGATTTAGCTCAATGTAATTTGCGTTTGACAATCTCTATTCTTCTAAGAATGGATAATACTTTTCACAATGGTTTTGTGCCTTCCATTGGCCTCTCTTGTTTGATACTATATATTTACTATCTTGCAGGACGGTCGCAAAATTAGGGTTGGTGATTGTGCTCTTTTCAAGCCCCCGAAGGGTTCTCCACCTTTCATTGGTTTAATTCGTTGGTTGGAATTGGACAAGGAGAAAAATTTGCTGCTAGGTGTGAATTGGCTGTATCGGTCGTCTGAGCTGAAGCTTGGGAAAGAAAGTTTATTGGACAGTGCACCTAACGAAATTTTCTATTCCTTTCTAAAAGGCAAAGTTCCGGCTGCATCTCTGCTCCATCCCTGTAAAGTTGCATTTCTTCCTAGAGGTGTTGAGCTTCCCGTTGGAACTTCCTCTTTTGTTTGTTGGCGTGTCTATGACATTGCAAAGAAGAGTTTGTGGTGGCTAACAGATCAGCAATTCATTAATGTTAGTTTTTCTTTTTCCTTTCATTTTTTTACTTGGTTTAGTGCGGGGGGTGAAAGCTGTAGGGTGGTGGTGTAGTAACTGGTAAGAAATGGGAAATGGAAATCATTTATAGTTCGTAAGCTCATTATTACTGTGTTTACCTTTCTGATTCTAATGTTGCGTGTATATCTCAGGACCAGCAAGAAGAAGTAGATCAGCTTTTATACACAACAAGGTCAGAAATGAATCAGACTTTGCAGCCTGGTGCTCGTTCTCCAAAACAAAATAATGGTCCATCTTCCACCTCTCAACTTAAACATGGTTCAGACAATGGTCAAAATAGCGGCAATGCTCCATCTCAAGCCAAAGGAAAGAAGAGGGAAAGAGGCGATCATGGTTCTGAACCTCTCAAACGTGGACGTTCTACACGGACTGATGATGGTGATTCTGTTCTCCCCAAAGCAGAAGGTGACTTAAAACATGAGATTGCAAAAATAACAGAAAAAACTGGTGTCGTGGATTTGGATGGGGTTGAGAAGCTGGTGCAGTTGATGCAACTAGATACGCCGGAGAGAAAATTGGATTTAGGTAGCCGCTCTATGCTTGCTGATGTATTGGCTTCCACTGATAAGGTCGATTGCCTCAGTCGGTTTGTCCATCTGAGGGGCTTGCCTGTACTTGATTGTTGGCTGCAGGATATTCACAAAGGAAAAGTTGATGAAGGTAATAATATAAAGGACGGTGATAAATCAACGGAGGAATTTCTTCTCACTTTACTTCGCGCGCTTGGTAAAATTCCTGTCAATCTCCAAGCCCTTCAAACATGCAACATAGGCAGATCTGTAAATCACTTACGATCCCATAAAAACATGGAAATTCAGCGAAAGGCACGTACTTTGGTCGACACTTGGAAGAAACGTGTTGAAGCTGAAATGATTAACATTGATGGGAAGTCTGGTTCAAACCAAACTGGAACTCCTTGGCCATCCAAATCGCGCCTTTCTGAGGCTTCTCATACTGGTAGCAGAACTCCTGATGGTGCCATGAAAAGCTCCCTTACACAGAATTCTTCAGCAAAAATTAGTTCCGGTAAGTCCTCACCTGGAGAGAGTGGCAACAAGTATGGATCCTCATCTCCTAGGCTTGTGAAACCAGCTCCAACTATTGCATCCGGAAAGGATAGCCAGCCGAGAAGTTCTGGGGGAGGCACTGTTGATGCCCCTCAAATTAGGGAGGACAGGAGTAGCAGTTCTAACCAGTCCCATAACAATGACCAGTCTTTATCTCTGAAAGATGATGTCAAGAGTTCCACTTCACATCCAGCAATTGTTAATAAGACGTCAGGCACTATAACTCGTAATCGAAAAAATAGTGGTTTTGTGGGATCATCAGCAACTGTTGGTCAGAAAGAAACCAGCTCTAGCAGAAGTTCTCCGGCACACAAGAATACTGTTGTAGAAAAGCCTTCTCACTCTTCTATAACTGGTGAAAAGGCTGTTGAGGGGCCCATCAGTGATGGGATCAGCCATAAGCTAATTGTTAAGATACCAAACTGCGTGAAAAGTCCTACCCAGGGGGTCAGTGGTGAATCAACGGAAGGTCCTGTTATTATGAGTAGCCGGGCTTCTTCTCCTGTTCAGAAACTTAAGCAATCCGATCCTTCTCCAAACGACAAGGGTGAAGCTTCTCAGCATAAATTTACATCAGATGTGAACAATGAACAGACAGATATTCCTGAGGATGGGCAAAGCGTGAACACTGAAGTCTCCAATAGATTAAATGATATTCCTGCATCAGACAAATTGAATTCTGTACAATTGCATGCGTCTTCTTTCAGCCCCATGAAAGCTTTAGTTGAGAGCTGTGCCAAGTACTCAGAAGCTACTTCATCATTGTCGCTTGATGATGATGTTGGCATGAACTTGCTTGCCAGTGTGGCTGCCGGAGAAATTTCAAGATCTGATGTTGTTTCACCTAATGATTCTACTGAAAGGACGACGCCTGCAGTGGAGGAAGTTTGCTCTGGTGTTGAGACAAAATCTAAGTCTTCTCCTAAAGATTACTCTGCAGGAGTGCAGAATCAGGTTCGCAGTGATGGATGTGATGCGTTGTTGAGTGGCAGTAAAGACATTGACTCTTCATTCGTAGAATTGAGATGCAACACTGACCCTAAGAGTGGAATTGATGGTATGGTGACAGAAAAGGACAGTACTAATTTGCATAGTGTTGATGGTAAGCTAATGGTTGGTGATGGGGTGTCGAAGGCACTAGAAGAAGGTAGCAGCAAGAAGTCGAAGGATCAAGGATTGAACATGTCATCCATATCTCTGTCAAAACAAACTTCTATAGTTGTTGTGCCTGTGTCTGCAGAAAAGGCTAGTAATAAAGTTCAGGGCCAACCTGAATGTGGCCAGAAGTCAGTGCCAGAAGTTGGTGGTTCTGTCAAAATAGAATTCGGCGAGAAAGATTCTAAGGGTGACATGGGCACATCAGAAAGATTGGAATCTGATAATGGTGTGCAGAAAAATGAGGGCATTCAGAATCAAGTCTCACCATCTCATGATCCAAACAGTCACTGTGAAACCAGTCTAGAAAACCAGGAGATTTTAGGACATTCACTTACTGAGAGTCAGTGCCTTGGTTCTGTGAAGCAGGAAGCACAGAAGGATGATTTGCGAGAAAAGAGCTGCGCTAGCGTTCGCTCTGGGAATACAGGGAAGTCTACATCCGCTTCTATAGGATCTGCTTTTTCCGCTCACTCTGGAGGAACTGAACCGTGTGAAAAAATGAAGTTCGACTTAAACGAAGGTTTTAGTGATGATGATGTAAAATTTGAGGAGCCTGCCACTTTGCCATCAACTGTGCAAATGGTTAACTCTTTATCATCTCCTGTTGGTTCTATTCCCATTGGCCATTCTGCCTCCATTACTGTAGCATCTGCTGCCAAAGGTACCTTTTTTCCTCCAGACGACCTGTTGAGAAGTAAAGTGGAGCTTGGATGGAAGGGATCTGCTGCGACTAGTGCATTTCGTCCTGCTGAACCCAGAAAACTTGCTGAAGTGGCAGTTGGCACATATGATTCATTTTGTGCTGATGCTTCAACCAGTAAACATGACCGTCTCCCTTTGGATATTGATCTAAATGTGCCGGATGAAAGACTTCTCGAGGAAATGGCTTCTCGAGGTTCAGTTTTGGCTGTTGAGTCGACTACAGATGTGGAAAGTAAATGCACCTCATTGTTAAGTGAGCCACCTGGTTCCGTGCAACGAAGTTTCGGTGGGCTGGATCTGGATTTGAATAGAGTCGATGAGGCAAATGATAATGTCCAATACTTCACCAGCAGCAGCCATCACAAAGAGGCTTCCCTTGTGCACATCAAGCCAGCAACTAATATACATATTCAGAGGGATTTTGATCTCAATGATGGGCCTACGGTTGATGAAGCTAGTGTAAGGCAGTTTCCAGTAAGTCAATTAGTGAAGGGTGGTTTAGCAGCACAGCTGCCGTCTGCCGGCTTCTCAATGAGCAATCAGGGGCCAAGCAGCTTCGCGTCTTGGTTTTCTCCCGGGAATACCTACTCAACTGTAGCCATACCATCAGTATTACCCGACCGAGGGGAGCAGTCATTTACCGTTTTCCCACCCGGTGCACCTCAGAGATCGTTTGGCCCTGGTGGTGTTTCCCAATTCAATCCTGAAATGTATCGTGGATCAATACTGTCATCTTCTCCTGCAGTTCCTTACCCATCCGGTCCATTCCAGTACCCCGTATTTCCTTTCGGGACCACTTTTCCTCTCCCTTCAGGCACTTTTTCAGTTGGAGGTGCTTCGTTTCAGGATTCGTCATCCGGTGCAAGGATTTTTCCCTCTTCAATAAATTCACAATATCTTGGACCTGTTGGTAATGTTGCACCCCAGTTTCAGCGGCCATTTATGGTTGGCCTTGCTGATGTCAATAACAATGGTGCAATGGCTAGCAATAGGGGGTGGAGCAGACAGGGTCTGGATCTTAATTCGGGCCCTGGCATCGTGGAAGGGGAAGTGAAGGAAGAAAATTTGCACCCATCTGGCCAACAGTCTGTTTCCAGCTTTCAAGCCCTTTCTGCTGAGGAGCAGGTCCGAATGTTTTCAGTTTCTGGTGGTATACTGAAGAGGAGAGATCCCGATGGTGGCTGGGATAGTGAGCCCGCCAGACATAGGCATTCTTCATGGCAGTAAAGTTTGACTTTTGGAACTTACAAATCCCTATATCCTGTAAGTTTTATTATTTTGCTTTTTATACAAATAATAATGGATGAATGTATTTTGAAATGGGTATGTTTACATATCTACATGTGGTTCCTCCATATGTGAACCACCTGTGATGATGAATTAATTTAGAAATAGGTATCACATATCTACATGTGTTCGCCATCTCTCTGTCCTTTCTACATATTGTCCAATGGTGATTTTTTTTTTCTTTTTTTTTTTTTAGTAATTGTGTTCGCCAGACTGATTAGTAATTTGTTTTGAGCCCTTTTTGTGTTTCTCTTACCATTGGTTCTCTTGGGTTCCATCTCTAGCCTACCCCCAACTTGCTTGGGACAAAAAGGCTATATTGTTGTTGTTGTAATGATTAGTAATTGTGTAGAAAAATCAATGTCTGGGGAATGAATACATAGTAGTTTTTCAGTTTGGCTGGTTTTTGTTGGTCAAGTTCACCATTGTTGACCAATTGGTGCATGAGGAGTATGTAACATAGATAGACCTGATGCAGAATATGCAACTATCATCTTAAATGAAGAAATACATATGTGCTTCTAATGGAAAATCTTCTATTGCCTTTAACTCTGGAGAAATTAAACATTAGCTGCATGCACCATTTTAATTGGTTATGTCCGTTATAAATTGACTGAAAAATAACTGATTTAGTTATAGGACAATTACTTGTTAATAGATTATAAGCATTTGTACTGCCAGTCTCTTCCTGTGTCACAAAGTATAACTATTTACTACACATTGCACAGCATATTGTGAAGATGACTGTAATCTCACTTGGATTTTTGATGAATTTTTCGGGTGATAGCTGTGTTGATGTGCACTATATTACCGGTAGAGGATTTTTGTTCTGTTTTGTGTAACATTGTTTTGCTGCAGTTATCGACAAGAAATCAGCTTTGTTCTGCCATACTCATTTAGATAGCCCGTTGTTGACTGAAGTTGTATGGCTTGACATGTACTCATTTGAACAGTGAACGAAAGTGGAAGATAATCAAAGTTGTGAAATGAAGACTGATTCCCAGCGGCCGTGCTGTAAGCTTAAGGTAAACTTCTCTTTTTTAAGCAGAAGTCTTAGTCAGATTTGTAATGAGTTTTCAGTTACAAGTCATTTCCATAAACTGATGGGCTGTGATAGATTAAGTAACCTCTATATAGTCATTAAGAGGGTGTTTGACTTGGCCTGTAAGCTCTTTAATAAATCTTATAAACTCTAATAGTTCAGTGACTGCATTGATTAATACACAATGCCATTTTCGAATACATTTATATTTCATCTAGAGTTTTCTTGCTACACTTAACTCACACTAAGTTGAGTGTTCGTTTTGCTCTACTCAGCGTTTGAAGTCAAACAACCATTTTCCCGATGGTTGATATTTCTT